AAAAGAATTCTTTGTCACCTAACATGAAACACCTTTACAATAAGTAAAAAAACAAAAATCCTAATACTACACAGATTTAGCAAAACTGTAACTTTAAAGAGTTGTTAGGTTTATGGAGCAACCGACAATTGTTAGTTGTGTATAGGAGGGCGTCTTTTAACACGATTGTAATCCATAGTAAAGTATTGTGATGGATCTTCTTCTGACTCCATCCACTCTTGTCTTGTTCCTTTTCCTGTAATGTTACACAATTTTGTAAACATGTTTTGACAATATATGTAAAAAGTTTATTAGTATGTATATAAGAATAGGTATGGTGGAAAAACAAGTCGGATATGGTAGCCATGTCTGTTTTACGTGTATTTTTTTTAAAATTGAAAAAGATTATAGAGACGCACTCTTTAATATATTCACTATATTCTATTTTATTTTTTTCGGATTTGTGTGGGCGCAAATATTAACGATTTTGTTTTGTAATTTTTAATTTTTAGAAGTTCAAGACATGCCCGTCCTCATTTTCTTTGTGGGACGAACTAAAGTTTTAGACTCACACTCTTTAATATGTATGTTCCGCTTCATTTTTGTTTTGCTGACTATTACGATGTAGGTATTAATTATTTTTCTTGCAACTGCTCTCACCCTTTTGACAAGTCAAACTCGGACTCTTCGAATTTTTGACTCTTTTCCAATAAAATTCTAAAAATCCCCTTTACTTTTCATGGGCCATTTTCCTTTTGACTTCTTATTCTTCTCATTGACCGTGCTTGCAAAGAGGTTTCCGCCTTTGCCATATCGTTATTTCTATTCCATCCTTTGATCATGAGCCTCAAGAGAGCTTTGAAGCTCATCTTTGCTCAATATCGCAATATCCTTCGATTCTTCAATCACCACTACTATGTTGTCAAATCTTGTCGTCAAAGAATGAAAAATCTTGACACAACATTACCTCTAAAATAGTTTTTCCATAAGACTTAATTTGATTCACCAATTGCGTAATTCGCGTCATGTAATCGTTGATTTTCTCCTTCCTCTCCATTTGAATAAATTAAAATTGATGTTTGTTAGTTTGTAACCTCACCACATTTTCCTTAGCTATAACACCCCAAAATAATTATATTATTTGTTTAATTATTTAATTGATTTATGAAATGTATTTATGATGTATTTATGAGTATATGTGATGTTTTGATCTATATAATGTGATGTTATGTGTAGTATAATAGGAATTGAGAGATATTGGGTGTTTTAATAATTTTAGATAATTAGTTTTGATTATTTAGAATTATTATTAATTAAATAAATAAAATAATAAGAGATAGAGACTATGAGGACAAGGTAGTAATATTATGAATTAAGTGGGGATAATATTGGAAGACCATAGAAAGAGTCCAAGGGTTAAACAAGAAAAAAGAGTGTTAGTGTCTATCATTCTGTATGATCGCTTTAGGAAGAGCATAGCAAAGTTAGGGCATTGGGGAACTCAGAAGATTTCTGTAGAGTGCGAAGAGGAATCGATTGTTGCTAGAAATCTAAGGTAAGGGGAGTTTATCATTGTTATTATGATCAATATATGGCTTAAATAATTGTAGGTTTGTTTTGGAATTTTGGATTGATGATGAGAACATGATTAATTTGATGAGAATTGGTGAAATTGTGACATTGTTTTACAATAAATTGATGTACATCATGTATTATAGAATATGTTAACTATGTGAAGTTAGGATTATTTGAGACCTATACTGTGTTGGAATCGCAAGAATTGAGACTGATTTTATGCAGGAAATCACAACAGGAAAACCCTGTTCGTGCAGCCTCGTTGGGCGAGCCATCCAGTCGTCGGGCAAAATAGCTCTCGCCCATACTTCGCCAGGAGAGATAGAGAGGCGAAAGGGAGGGTTGAGTTTTGGCATGGTTCTATAATTTGTATGAGAGGTGCGATTCGCTCCAGATTTATCGGGCAAAGCAGAGGCGAGCATAGCTCGCCAGAAGAAGGAAGGATTCATCGGGCGAATAAGATGGAAAGAAACATGACCTCCTGGAATTTTGTATTGGGAAACCTGGTTCGCCCCATCCTCGTCGGGCGATCCCTAGGCGAGTGTGTAGCTTCGCCGGGTAAACCTCAGGTGAGAGGTGTCTGACAAAAACTTTGACATGCCGTAACTTGAGTTTCTGGACTCCGTTTGACGCGTCGTTTAAAGAGTTAGAAAGCTAACGTGATGAATTATGCTTTGGTGAAATAAGATGGATTAAATGTTGTAGTTTTATAGTGATTTTGTTATGATTAGATGATGATAATATGTGTTGATATATTAATACATGTGCTTTCTATTATGAATTGGTGTAACGGTGTCTTGTTGTAATTTGACTTGTGTTTTATAATGAATTAACGGTGTTATGATGGTGTGTGTATTATGAAGCATGTGGTGAGAATATGATGAGTACATGAATGATGATGCGTGTTGACTAGCAGTGATCGTGTTGTTTATTGTGTTGTTACACATCATGTATTCATGGCATATTTTAGGATGAATAGTTCGGTGATGTTTGCAGAACTTTGTTCCAGTGAAGTTTATAGGAAGATTAGTACAGTGATGAACTCAATCCCATAGTGTGGATTGAGTGAAATATTATTATATTCTCTAGTTCCAAGCAGGGATCGATCTTATTGGTGGGGATCTTTGAAGAAACGATGATTGAGTCATCAATGAAGTTTTGGTACCACATGCATGAGTCTAAGGAAGTTGCATTATATTCTTTGTGGCATTGTATGATGATTGATTAAGTTATGCTTTGTGAATGTGTGAACTAATGATTTTTTGGTAATGATTGTTGACTGATGATATGATGATGCTATGAATAAATAATGAACTGAAGGTGTGAGTATAACTTGAAGCTTTGATGGTGTGTGGTGTCTTGCTATTGTTCTATACTACTATATTTATTCTTTATGTATTTTATAATGAATATGATTACCCACCTTTCCTGCTTGAAAATGTTGCCTTTATACATGAGTAACTTACAGGTGATCGGGATTGGTGCGTCGAAGCTTAGAGGATAGCTTCATAGTGCGTCATTTATTTCTGTTGAATAAGAGGGTCTTGCTCTGATATGTAACATCGGGGTTGAGATCGTTGATTGGAATAATTATGTTCTTTTGTTTACCATGAGATTATGAGTCACCTTTCTTGGTATTTAAATTGTTCCTGAATTATGAATCTTGAACGATAAAGTATGATGAAGTTTCTTTGTAGTGTTTTTAATGAATATGTTTTGAGACTATGATTCTGCTGCGATGATTTGAATCTTGATATTTTGATGATATTAAAGAGACAGTTATTTTAGATGTTTTGTAAACCTGTGTTACAGATCATGATATTTTTATATGATGTTTCTGTGAAGATGTGACACCGTTGTTGGTAATTTTATTTGAATTATTTGCATAAAAGATATGCGAATTATATGTGGGTTTAGAAAGGGTGTTACATTAGCAGCCCCTGCATATGCCTTTTCCAAGATTTTCCACACTTCCTTTATCGACTTGCAATCACCAACTTTCTCAAAGTTGTCACCATACACACATGAATGGATCAAGAACAACACTTTGTAATCTTTCTTTTTTTTCTTTCTTATGTGTTGCTCGTTGTGCATCCGTTTCACCTTCAACAAGTAGATTCACCTCATTCTTGGTCACTTTAAGAACATCTTGGTAGATAAACAATATCTTCGTTTGCTTGCACAACTTGTCGTAATTCTTCATATCGAGGATTGGCAAGTTTGTGGGAACTCTATCATTGGTGACAAAATTCATATTTGCACAACAGACTATGGATCAGAACCAGGTCCTTGATGGCAAATGTTGGAACATACAATCACACAATTGGTGAACAATGGAGGATTTAGAGCTTGTGGAGAAGATGAGAGAGAGAGAGAGAGAGAGAGAGAGAGAGAGAGAGAGAGTGAAGATTTTCATAACTTTCTCTATAATGAGATGATGATCCCTCTAAGACATTTAAACAAGTGTTACATAATGATTGAGACCTAAATTAACTCATTAAACAACAAGAAAAAGCTACAAAATATGTTCGTAACCGGTTAACAGAAACTGTTAACCGGGTACGCAGACTAATAACAAAAATTCAAGTGTTAAGTGTAATCGGTTAACATGTTTCGTTAACCGGTTACAACTCAAAAACCAAATTTTCAACTCCATAAGTGCTTTTTCTTCCGGCTGTAACCGGTTACACCCCGTGTTAATCAGTTATAGCACTTGAATTGTCAGGATTTCATCCAACATTAATCAAATGATTAAAAGACAATATTTGATTATACTTAATGATTGATGTTATGTTTTTTGATCTTGACGTATGTTTGGATACACCTTTGCAAGCCAATCACACGTTTGAGGACAGTCTCACAGTGAAAAAGAGAAGTTACAAAGTGTGGTTTCTGGTCCACATCCACTACTTTTCCACCGCTAATCCAAACATGCCATTGATCGATGTCAATATGCCCACTAATGAAGGTGATGGTGATGTTTTCATAAATTTCATGTCTTGTTGATGTTAAACTTAAATTGTTATGGTATTCGAGTCTAGTATGATCTAAGTATGGTCCAATGGTGTTGAATGTCGTCTGGCGATGATGTTATCGGTTATTGTTCTTGTATGTTGCATATAGGTGTCATGTGGGAAAAAATAGTGTGATGCAATTAGAGCACACAACGAATGAGGTTTTTGAAAGATAGTAAAAACTGAAAGTGAGACACATGCCAAAGTTGAGTGCAAAAAAGGGGTCAAACTAAATCTACTATCATCAAAACATGTTCTTACGGCAAGTCCCACAAATTAAGGCAACTTGTTTCACAAAGAAAAGAATTCTTTGTCACCTAACATGAAAACACCTTTACATTAAGTAAAAAAAACAAAAATCCTAATACTACACAGATTTAGCAAAACTGTAACTTTAAAGAGTTGTTAGGTTTATGGAGCAACCAGCAATTGTTAGTTGTGTATAGGAGGGCGTCTTTTAACACGATTGTAATCCATAGTAAAGTATTGTGATGGATCTTCTTCTGACTCCATCCACTCTTGTCTTGTTCCTTTCCTGCCTACCTCCATCTTTTGCTTTTTCTTGTTTTCTTTTCCTGTAATGTTACACAATTTTGTAAACATGTTTTGACAATATATGTAAAATATTTATTGGTACGTATATATGAATAGATATGGTGGAAAAACAAGTCGGGTCTGGTAGGCATGTCTGTTTTACATGTATTTTTTTTGAAACTGATAAAGATTATAGAGACGCACTCTTTAATATATTCACTATATTCTATTCTATTTTTTTCGGACTTGTGTGGGAGTAAATATTAACGATTTTATTTTGCAATTTTTAATTTTTAGAAATTCAAGACATGTCCGTCCTCATTTTCTTTGTGGGACGAACTAAAGTTTTAGACTCACACTCTTTAATATGTATGTTCCGCTTCATTTTTTTTACTGACTATTACGATGTAGGTATTAATTATTTTTTTTCAATTTTTCGCCTTAAGGGTGCAAGGCCCACATGTCTGTCTCATTCTCAATTTTTTGCAAGGCAAACAATGGTTTCAGATTCACAACCTCAACTATGTCTGACTCATCTTTATTTTACGCGAAACAGATGAAAATTTTAGACAGTACTTTCAACTATATCTGTCTCGTTCTACTCTCTTATTTTATAAAATTTTATAGAACAAATCTAAATGAGGCGGATGTGTTCGTTTGTCACCTTTATTTTAATCTTAAATATAAGCATAAGTTTTTATTTTTTTAATAAAATTTTTAACTTTGTTTGAGAAAAAGAAAAGAACTTTTGTTTACCCCTTCCTTGATAAAACCTACCTTTATTTTATGCACCAACAAGGATTGGTAAAGAGAGCATGCAGGTTAGGTTATAAGATACCTAATACTTGATAGCTTTTATGATATGAAAAATGACATGAACTAAAGCTAGCTCCACAAACCAAATATTTTGCATTCAATGCGTTGATCACTTTTTCTAGTAACTATTACATAGTTTGCTAATTACCTGCAGGAAGCGAATCTTTCTTCTTGTGTGAAACAAAATCTCTAGCTTCATCAGATTCTTTAACCTACTTATAAATAGGAATATATAGTCAAAAATAAAGTATAGCATAAATGATGTAAAAAATAATTATGACTAAAGAAGCTTCTTCATATTTATGTATTACCTTTTTGGTGAATATTAGCTTTCTATGCAGTATTGGTAGAGAAAGCTTCTGGTGTGCATTTAATATTCCTATATAATATTTATTTAGGGTAGAGAAAATTAATTAACAACAAGAAAATCATCGAAATGTTAAAAAGCTTATATTGATATATGCAATTACGAAGATAAAAAAACAAATAGATAGATGCGATTACGAAGATAAATAGATAGATAGGCAGACACCGAAAAATAGTTGTAATGATAGGGTGTTTACCTTGATGATGAATTGTAGCATGTGATTGAGTTTGTAAGGAAGAAAAAGTTAGTTGTAGAGAAGAGAAGAAAACGCTTAAAAAAATGATTATTTTTATAAGCTGCATTTTCTTTAGTTGAGAGGATGCATGAAACACTTTTCTTAAGCATGTTAGTTTAACTTATATATACACGACCACGCATGGAAAATAGAGAGCAAACACAAAACACAAAATGAAGAGTTCCAAAACAACAAGTACAAAGAAATTTTTTAATATTAATTCATTTACTTTATAGGATGTTTCACACAAAAAGTAGACAAAGCTAGACACAAAAAGTAGGAGATGATCTAATCTCTTCAAACTCATACTCTAGATTCAAAAGTAGCTATATTACATATATTCATTTTAAGTTTTCATCATCATGTTAGTTTTATTTAGCTTATTTAGTTTTTGGATTCCGATTCTACTCTATTTTATAATATTATGTACTTTTGAAGTGCATTTATTATTAACCAACAAAATAAGTTAGTTTGTGATTCACATGGAGCTTATAAAAATAACCACTTTTTCTAAGCCTTATCTTTGCTTAAAATGGTTTAAAAAATTAGCTTAAACAAATTAAGACTACGAACTCTAATCTTAAGTAAAATAAAAATAAAAATAAAAATAATGCAATTACTATCTCATTTTAAAGGCTATATATGTTGGATTGGGAAAGACTTGTTTTGCATTACTATCATCAAAGGTTTATATACAAACGTGAGTTACTTGCATAGAAAGTAACAAGTAAACACAACTAATTCATAACTAACTATTAGTTAGTTATTATTCTACCTGATTAAAGCTCAATAAACACTCTCTCCTAATCTCAACACACAACTTAGATTACAATAAAAACAATCATTGAATAAAAACAATACAGCCTACAATACACCCTAGTTACATGAATTCATGAGAACACACTCCAAGCTTTGCTCTCAACTTGCATAATAATGCTAAATTTAAAGGTTTAGTTAACACATCATTAAGTTGTCCTTCACTATTGCAATGACTCATCTCAATGATTTCCTTTTTGGTTAAGTCTCTAAGAAAATGAAACCACACATTTATATGTTTACACTTTCCATGTATGATAGGGTTCTTTGATGCTTAATTGTAAAGCTATTATCACACCATACGATTGTGCCATGCCTTTGAGTTTGTCCAAGTTGATAAAGAACATTTCGAAGTCAATGTCCTTGACATGCACATGAAACTGCAACAACAAATTCTACTTCAGTAGTTAAAAGTGTTACAATTGACTACTTCTTCGAGGGCCATGAAATAGATCTAGATCCAAGTTGGAAGACATATCCTGTTATGTTTTTTTCGATCATAATTGTCCCCTACATAATCAGAATCAGTCCATCCTTACAACACCATATTATCTGCCCTCTTGTACAAGATTCCAAAGTATGTAGACCTCCTTAAATACCTGAGGATCCTCCTTACTGCAATTATATGAATTTTAGTTAGCTTTTCCATGTATCTTGCTACCAAACACACTGCATAAGCAAGGACATGTCTAATGGCTAGCATGTATATCAATCTTCCCATCAAGTGCTTGATTTTTGTGGCATCGACTAACTTCCCATTTTCATCTTTTGTCAAACTACAACCTAGAACAATAGGATTACAAACTTTATTACACCAATCCAGCCAAATCTTGTGAGAATTTCATTAGCATATGTGAGATATTGGATCGAACTTTATTGGTTTGAAGGATAGCTTCTTGGTTTCAACAGCTCGACAGAGCTGTAGCATGCACTTGAAGGTTGCTCACATGTTGATGTTGAAGTATTGTATGTTGTATTCGAAGAAGGATCAAGTATGCAGTGGTCGAAGAATTCTAGGATTGTTAGTATCAAATTGGGCATGTTTGTTATGTCCAGTTGTTTAAGTTAGATTGTAATGGGTATTTATGAAAAAATCCCATTAGTTTAGTATGAGATTTATTATAAATAGTATACTAGTCTCTCATCATTCCATACTGCAAATTATATTTTAGGGTGAGAGAGTTATTTGTTATTCTTGTGTACTTGTAATCTTGATTTAAGAGAAAGTAAAAAATAGCAGTTATAACTAATCATTGTTATTCTTCTTGTGTTTCTATCTTTTCTACCCTAATTTTTTTTATCGTAAAGAAACAAGTTTATACTTTATTTTGAGGTATCATTTTTCACAACAAATCGGTGCGGTGAGCATGGAAAAGATATCTTCAACAAAGTATGAGATTGAAAAGTTCACCGGAGTGAACGATTTTGGTCTGTGGCGCTTGAAGATGAAAGTCTTACTGGTTTGGCAGGGTTTGGAAGCGTTAAATTGAGAAGCAACCATGAACATTGTGTTAACGGCGGCTGAGAAGACAACCATGATAGAGAAAGCCCACGGAGCAATCTTGTTGAGCCTTGATGATAAGGTTCTTCGACAGATATCAAAGAAGACGACGGAGGCAGGATTATGGGTGAAACTTGAAAGTTTGTACATGACCAAATCGCTGGTAAATCGACTCTACCTAAAGCAAGCTTTGTATTCATTCAAGATGATTGAAGACATAGTGTTAGCTGAGCAGTTGGATATGTTTAACAAGCTGATTATTAATCTTGAAAATATTGATGTGAAGATTGATGATGAAGATCAAGCACTGTCGATGTTGTGCGCTATGGCTAGATCACATGCTCACTTCAAAGAAACTCTCTTGTATGGAAGGGAGTCCATGACCTTTGAAGAAGTTCAATCAGCCTTGTATTCGAAGGAATTGAATGAATGGAAGGAGCATAAACCTTCGACGGTTGGTGAAGGTTTGACCGTTAAAGAAAAATTCTTGTGAAAGGATACTAAGTTCGACAAGAAGAAAGGTAAAAGTCAGGAAAAGTTTTACAGTGACGAAGCATCTGGTATTCGTTGTTATCATTGTAGGAAGGAGGGTTACACAAGAAAGGTGTGCCCTGAACGCCTGAAAGATCATAGAGGTAAGGATAATGATAATGCAATATTGTTCAAGATGATTTCTACTCATCTGATGTTCTTGTGGTTTCGAGCAGCAACCCGTCGAAGGAGCGGATTATGGATTCTGGGTGCACTTGGCACATAACTCTAAACATAGACTTGTTTGAGGAAATATGTGATCAAGATAGTGGATCTGTACTATTGAGAAACAATAAAGATTACAAGATTGCAGGTGTTGGATTTGTGAGATTCCAGCTCCATGATGAGTCAATAAAGTTATTGACTGAAGTCAGGTATGTACTTGATTTGAAGAGAAATTTGATTTCTCTTGGTGAATTCGACAAGAAAGGATATATTTTCTAAGGAGAGAAAAGTATCCTAAGAGTCATGAAGAGTTCGAAGGAAGTCTTAAGAGGCGTGAAAAAACAAGGATTGTATACCCTTGAGGCTGAAGTTGTAAGTGGTTCGATAAATGTTGCATCTATGAAATCTTTTTCGAAGACAGAAATTTGGCACATGATACTGGGCCATGTCAGTGAGAGGGTTCTGGTCCAATTAGGGAAACAAAATTTTCTTGGTGAAGATAAAGTCAAAAAGCTGAAATTTTGTGAACCCTGTGTACTTGGAAAATCTTGTAGAGTGAAGTTCAACAAAGGAAAATAAAGAACACATGGGTCCCTTGATTACATCCATGTTGATCTTTGGGAGGCTGCAAGGTGTTCATCACATTCAGAAGCAAGGTATTTTCTATCCATAGTTGATAATTATTCCATAAATTTGTGGGTATTTATCCAGAAGACTAAAGATGAAACTTTTGAGAATTTCAAAAGTTAAAAGACTCTGATCAAAAATCAAACTGGCAAAAATGTCAAGAGGTTGAGAATAGACAATGGCCTTGAATTTTACAATGAAGATTTCAATAGCTTTTGTGCAGTCTTTGGTATTGCAAGATACAAAACTACTACACGTACTCCACAACACAATGATTTGGCTAAAATGTTTAATCGAACTATCTTGGAAAGAGTTAGATGCATGTTGACTAGTGTTGGGTTAAAGAAGATGTTTTGGGTTGAGGTTGTTTCAACAGCAACATATTTGATAAATAGAAGTCCTTCGACTGTGTTAGATATGAAGACACCTGAAGAAGTTTGACCGTGACATCCACCAAATCTTGATAAACTGAGAGTATTTGGATGTATAGCCTAAGCTCACATTAGGCAAGATAAGATCAAACCTAGAGCTCTGAAATGCATGTTCATGGGGTATCCTGAAGGAGTCAAAGCTTATAGACTACGGTGCCTAGAGCCAAGTCAGCAGAGGTGTATCACCAGTCAAGATGTAATTTTCAATGAAGCTGAAATGGCTTTCAAGAAAACTGATGATGTTGATCGAAGTGCAGAAATATATGACGAAGAGCTGGAACAAGTAGAGATTTCTGTTGAGGTGAAGTATGTTGATGCTGAATTACATATCTCAGATGAAGTCGAAGAAGAATCAGAAGATGCTGAGGAAGTTGAGGAAAATGTTGATGACTATCTATTGGCAATAGATAGGACAAGAAGAGTCATCAAACTACCTCATAGACTTGGGTATGTAGATCTTATAGTTTATGCCTTAATCTCTGCAAGTGAGGTTCTAAACGAAGAACCTAGAGACCATAAGGAAGTTATGAGGAGTCAAAATTAGACTAAATGGCTGAAGGCCATGAATGATGAGATGAAATCTCTTTATGATAACAACACTAAAACCAGAGAAATCAATTGAAACCGTAATCAACATGAAACCGTGAAGCTTATCGTAAAAAATACCAAACCATAATCATTCTGAACCGAAGAAGTTTTGAACAAAAACTAAAAGGCGACTGAATTGATGCAGTGAGATAACGAATCGCGTTTGGATTTGCGAAGAAACTGTTCGACTTCAAAATCTCATTTGAGAAAAAGCACTCTCGCGTTGGAGACTGAGAATCGCGTTTGAAAAAAAAACACGTTTAAAGAAGCGCTTATGTGAAAAATTGTTCACTTATGTTGCGAAAAAGAGAGAGATCTAAGTGTAAAACACTACAGTATAATATAATAACAAAATAAAATATACAATATAATAATAATAATAATAATAATAATAATAATAATAATAAT